GGACACCCCAACCCTTCTTCAACCTCCATCACCTACACCCATCCGCCATAGCCGGACGTCCCAACCCTTCTTCAACCTCCATCACGTACACCCAACCACCATAGCCGGACACCCCAACCCTTCTTCAATCTCCATTACCTACACCTATCCACCATAGCCGGACACCCCGACCCTTCTTCAACCTCCATCACCTACACCCATCCACCATAGCTGAACGTTCCAACCCTTCTTCAACCTCCATCACCTACACCCGTCCATCATAGCCGGACACCCCAACCCTTCTTCAACCTCCATCGCCTACAGCCATCCACGATAGCCGGACACCCCAAGCCTTCTTCAACCTCCATCACCTACACCCACCCACCATAGCCGGACGCCCCAACCCTTCTTCAACCTCCATCGCCTACACCCATCCACCATGGCCGGACATTCCAACCCTCCCTCCCTTATCACCTCTCGCGTCCGATTGAGAGCCTTAAGGGGCCGCAGGGGGGGTGCACGGAGCTCCGAGCAGAATCGGTTAAGGTAAGTCAATGAGCAAGGTCGATTAGGATGTGAAGCTTCTCTCTCTCTCTCTCTCTCTATCTCTCTCTCTCTCTCTCTCTCTCTCTCTCTCTCTCTCTCTCTTCATTCCTTCTAAACTCTTGAACTCTTAACCCTTCCGTCACCCCTTCCCCCCCCCATGGCTTGTGACTAACCTCCACCCTCACCTGTCACATTGTCAGGGAACGAACAAGAAGGAACTTAGTCCTCACTTGGTGGAAAGCGAGGGCAAGGGAAGGGCAACCGGTCCCTTGTGCCACCAAGAAGGGAAGGATACTGATCTATTGAGAGCAATTGCGAAAGCGGAAAGGAGTGCTGATTTTGGACGAGGTCAGTTTGACTCAACTACCTCCCCCGACTGCATGACTAAGGTGAATGCATGGGCTGCTTGAGGGAAGGGAGGGGCAAGAAAACCAAAGGACCATGGAAGGGAGAGGGAAACTTAGGCTCGCAGGAAGGGGCAATGTGTTGACCCCAATGGGGATTGTACTTGGACATTTGTTTTTGTGTGATCATGCGCAGGTGAGTAGCTTGGGACTATTCAGACGGGCTTGATCTACGGATGAGGACTAGAATGGGAGATTTGGCTATGGGAAAAGGACTTGGACCCGACTTAAGTCGCGGGTGCGGGTTGAGTTTGAGACCGGTACTTGAGTGAATGTTTGATGCATGGACTCGGCTTGCATGGGATTGCATGGAATGTCTCTCTCATGTGCGATGCGACGCCTGAAAAGACTAAGGGCGGTCCTTGGTAGGTGGATGTGATGCTAGCGGTTCTCGCAAAAAAAAAGGGGAGAATATTGTGGCTAGGGGCTCGGGCGACGCGGCCTCAACCCAAGGATGCCGTCGGGGTTGCCGAGGGCCGCTAGGCTTAGTGAAAAGGTGCGTGGCCCAATGGATGACGCTTGGCCTGGGCACGATAAGAAGATGAGACCTCAATGAACTCCCTGGACTGCCTGCGTATTGGAAGGAGCAATTGCCTGGTCAGACCTTAATGAATCAAGAAAACGCCACGAGTGCCGAAAAGCTACCATCTTGACGCGAGAGCGGAGCTACATCCCCCAATGTAAAGCCCTCTCGCAAAAGGCCCATCCCCATCCATCTCAAAGCACTACGTGGGGGTGCCCCTGGGACAAACGACCCGCGCCCTGAGCATGAGCGTGCCACTGGGCGGGTCGAGCCAAATGGGACCCGCAGTGGGGTCGACCGAGGCTCGAAAGTCCTTCAGGGTACTGCCCCTACAAAAATGGTGGAGGTGACGGGCAGGGGTTTAACTGACCCTGACGATCTCGAGGGGGGCGCCCGACGCATGACCGTGTAAATAACTAAAGACAAGAAATGAGGACTTGTGTATACTCTATCCTTTGAGAGAATCAGATTTGAGGGTGGCTGGGCGCATGGCAAGGTCAGGCCTGGAGGAAGAATATGCATGCTTGCACTTTTTTGATCAGCCATCTCCTGTGGGGATGACTCTAGTCCTTCTTCCCTAGGACTGATGCTCGTCAGGCCGGGGAAGCCTTGGGCAAGCCGCAGGTTGACCCTTCCTCTTCGTATGAAAGAAGGGCTCCGGTTACCTGGCAGGCGGTTGGGATTCCGGGCCAGTCCGGGTTCCAATGAAAATCCCGCGGCGGAGTGATCCGACCGACCTGGGTGCCTCTCTTCTCCTCTTCGGAGCCCAGTAGGCTCCGTGCATTGCACTTAAATGCTTGAAGGAACCTCATATAATCATAAACGGTAATCGAGAAGGAACAATCCTGCCCTATGAACGGATACACAAGCAAAGATAAGGAAATGAAGGGAGTTGCTAGACTCCAAGAAAAACTAGCTCCCCTTTGAAAATGCTCACCAAAAGGAATCGGGCTCTATGTATGGAAGTTAGGAGTGAGTGGCACACACTGTCCTTAGTGAAAACCTGTGAGCAATAGGTAGGAAGCGCTGGGTGCACCTGGGGAAAGACACTTGTGTTATGTGTGTGCCACCTTGGGGCTTGTGTTTGCATGATGGGGATTCGAGCGTCCTGCCTTTCTGAAGGAAAGGATTGGTTTGTGCCGGTCGGTGCGGGATGTGGAATGGTCGTCCTCTTTGAAGTTCACCGGGTCCCGTGTGTGGGGGTCGGGCCACCAGGCTGTTAGGCAAGGGTGGGTCTCGTCGGCTGATTAGTAGCATTCTCACCCGAGCGGTCTGAGCATGGCTCGATGATCTTGCCTAGGTGGGGTGTGAAACGTCTTCAGTCGGGCGGCTGCTTGTCGGCAGACGGCAGGGGGACCACTGCATATAGGGCAAGGAAGGAGCCTCGAAGGCGATTAAAAGCTTCTCGTAGCATGGCTTGAAAAAAGCTGATTCTTGTCGGACCGATGGAAGTGAATGCCTGGACGACCGACTCCAATGCCCTTACCGAGATGTGCGGGGTGATTCCCGAGATTAACGGTGTGTACACGAGCGGCAAGTCAGGATGGGGTATTCTGGGTAAGGAGGAAAGGGCGAATGCCTTGCCGAGACCTGGGTACCGCGCTAGCGACAGTTGAGCTGTACTTGAGGTATGGGGTAAAGCCCTGCCGATAGTAACAGTGGAGAGACCATTTCCGGGGAAGAGGTCGGTGAAGAGATGACCGACCTGTGTGCGATGTTTGCTTGAGTTTTATCTTTTGTGCCTCTCTCTGTAAAGTTGCCTGAGGAATATTGAAAGGGGAACTAAGCTTCTAGTCTATTGTCGATCTCTGCCTAAGTCTGCATGAGTGAGAGAACATGAGGAAGAGGCTGGACATGAGTCGGAAGAGAATGGAACTAAGAAAAGAAGGAATGCGAGCCACGGGTGATCGATTGGGGGTATAGTAGGGCAATGGTACCTGGGAAATGGATAAGGGAGGTTAGGGAGACCCGAATGAGGGGTCTGAAAACAACCCTCATCTAGAAAAAGGAAAAGCAAACCATCTGACCATGAAGTGTCGTGTGGTGCTCTCATGTGAAAAACAGGACAGGCGCTGGGAAACAAGATGGCACGATGGTTGTCGCCTCCTGTCTACTCTAGTGGTCCGGAAATGCCTATAGAAGTAAGGGATGGGGTATCTGTTGTTCTCTCGGAAGAAGGGACATGGACCGACCTAGAACCAGCCTATGAAACCGTGATGCTGGACAAGAAGGACGCGTTCCTCTGGATAGAGACAATCTGGACTAAAGTCAACCTGACAAGACTCTCACCTAGCTTGATGGACCTAGAATTTCGGGGAATAGTGGAAGCTCGAGGATGGATCTACCTATCTCAAGAAATGGAAAACGCAATGGTACTGGGACTAGTATTGGGCATGGCACCGGATCAACTGTTTAGGCAAGCGGAACGGGAAGTGGTATGGGCAGGATCTCAGCGGGCAGAAATGGAGATGGAAAGGATGGAGGTGCGAGTGGAACTTGGGGACCGGAAAAGAATGAGACGCCCCCTTAGGATAATGAGATGCGTGCTACCCCCATTCCTCGTGGATGCAGTCTTTGGAACCAGGGGAAGATTGGAGCGGATATGTCGGTCGATGACGCGCCTGAGGTTGTACCAAGGTGCTAGGCAGGACTTCTTTAAACTATCGGTGGAGGCGGGGCCGTTCGAAGGAAACTGGGCGGAAGAATTAGCTGAGGTGTTAAACCTCCTCTGCGTGGATGAAACCTTTGTTCCTAGCCCGGTGCATTTGCATATAGTTTACCGAAACATGGCAGCGGGTGAAACCTTCTTGGAAGGGGTGAAGGAGATGTTCCTAGACGGGGAGGAGGATTTCGGTGATAAGGAGGACGGAGACGAGATAGAGGACTGAGACTTCTGAAGGGGGGGGGCTTACCTGGGGAAAACGGGTTGTCGGCTATGTGCAGGTAGGGAACGATGGTCCGAGAACTCGAATTATGGGACTGCATGTGGGACCCAAGACGAACCAGGAAGGGAGTAGATATGTCACTACCGCCGAGCAATGAATGGAAAGGGACCACATGTGATTGGCGGGGGTATAAGATTGTGCCGGAACTATCGTACCTTTGGGTAGAGCGTATCTGGAATCCGTTGAGGGAAGAGGAAGGATAGGAAGAGATTGCAGAAGGAAGGGTGAAATCAGTTCAGACGATCGTTCTCTCGGAACAGGGTTGGCACCTGTTTTGCACGACGCTTGCGGCATGACAGAACCCGATATGGCTTTTAGGGGACGCTGAGGCAAGGGCTCGGCAGGCGGGGAAAAACTTTGCTAACAAGGGATGGGACACGGTCAGCAGTAGAGTCGTGATGGGAGGATGGAAGGAATTTAAACTGCCCGGTGCCCGAATCAAGACGTGGGTACCCGAGTTTGTGGCGGACTGGTTTGGGGGTTCTGATCATGTAACAGAGGTAGCCGACACGATGGAGCGAATACACGTGAATTGCACATGGTTGGCAGGGGAATTTTAAAGGACGTCCTTGAAATACAGGCCCTTCCACGACGATAGAGCCCGGGAGGTCCTCATTATTTTGGACATCGAAAGGAATGACCGGCAGGAGGTGGCCCCAGAAACCAAGGAGGTCATAATCCGCCGTGAGGTAGCAGCAACACCTTGCTATGTGGATGATGTGTTCAAACTGTTCGAAGTACTGTGGTCCGACTAAGCGCAGGGAAGCTATGGAGCCAGACAAATATGGCAAAATTGCTAAGATTAGGGAATGGGATGTTTGACCATTGTAGGGATCAGCACGGATCGCGAGCCGGGAGATCAAAGGCGCTCGCGCGATGGCACGAAGAAGGACGTTCCTTGAGGAGTGTCCCTTGGGCATTGAACCGCCTAGGGAAGTACCGGGCGGGATAGAGGTTAGCCTGTCGGCAACAGGCGAGGGATGGCACCAGGTGGCGGATTGGGTTAGGATCGAGCTTGCGGAAAATATGGTTTATTTGGTGACGAAAGTTGAGTGGCGTGCGGCTGAGAATGGGGAATGGAACCCGGACCCACGGGGGCACGTGCGGGCAGAGGGGCGGTTGTGTGTGTCAGAAAACGGGTGGAGAGAGTTCGGAGTTCGGCAGGCATCTGGGGAAGACCCGTTGAGCATGTTTGAGGGGGCATGGCAATTAGTATGGCAAACGGGATTTGAGTTCGCAGATCCGGGGGTTGACGATGTAACGGCAAACCTTAGGGTAGCCATGGTCAGGAGTTTCGAATTGCCTAGTGAAAATGTACGAATGAGGCTGCCGCCCTTTCTGCTGGAAAAACTGGGCGGTCTGGAACTTGTTGGACAAGCAGTAGTCAACCTCGCAAGCCTGACATATGAAGAAGCGGCGGTACATCGAGAATACTACCGGACCTTCTTAGAAATGAGACCGTTTAGCGGCGAGCAGAAGTACGAGGTGTTATGCATCCTGCGTGCTGTGTTTGGTACCAGGCCAAGGGTTCCGGTCGTGGGAAGTGAGGTCCTGTGGGGTATCGTCCGGTGGGAAATAAACCATGGGATGGCGTACGTAGATGATCTGTACCGATTGCATGAGCAGATGGAGGAGGGAACATGTCGGTAATAGGGCCGAAGAGAGGGGAAAGAAATAAGGGGAAAAGAGGCACCAGGCTAGGGATCGGGGAGTTGTTCGGGGGGAAAAATTGAAGACCAAGTGGAATAAGTAAGCTCGCATGCTGTTTAAAACTGTGCAAGGGAATTCTAAGTCGGAAATGGCGATGAGACGCGCCCGGATGCCGCGACGACCCGTGCACCCGCGGCCACCCACGGAAAACGGAGATGGATGGGAGGTGTCGCTCCCAGCAMGCTACATGATTCAAGGATTGGATACCGAGTGGAGAGTCGTGACCCTGGGAAGAGGTCAGGCGTTCATGATGGTGGAATGTTTGTGGGATGGTATGAGAATTAACAGGGGACCGGGGGACGATCTGTACACCGATCTTAGGGTAACGGGGACCGTATACCTGCCCGAGCTCGGTTGCACATGTTAGGGATGGAGTTGGCACTAGGGCATGGGTTGTTGCCAATCTTCCAGAGGGCTACTAGAGTACTAAACTGGGTAGGCCAGGAAGTGCGAGGAAGAAGGAATGTGGGGTTAAGGACTCGGGTGGAGATAGGAGGTTGGCGAGAGTTTAAGGCCCCAATGACCGGGCTGAGGTGTCGAGTGACTCGCTTCATGGTAGACCTAGTATTCGGCAGTCTCAAGAGGGCAAGGGATTTGGTGGACTCGACACTGGTCTGGATCCACCTCTTCCGGTCGCAAACAACGGGCATGTTTTACGACGTGTCGGTCAGACATGGGCCGTTCTGGGGAAACCAGGCCTGGGAACTACTCGAATTACTCGAGATCTTGATATTCGGATTGCCCCACCTGTCGTTTGAAGAATATGAGCCAATAGTTATCAGGGAAATAAAAATGGGGGAAAATTCCCTTGCTGGGTTGGCTGACCTGTTCGAGGAACCAGATGAGCAGGGTAGGCCTGAGGGACCAGCATGAGAAAACGCGTCAGGAAGAGGTAGGGAAATAAAGGATGGGCACTAAGATAAGTAGGCGGCCGACAGCAAAAAAGGGGCAGTGGTTGGAGTCCCGGCCGACCCAATGATGCGGCAGGAAGGAACTAGGAAGACCACCGCTCCCAAAGTTCTGAGGCACCTGGATGCCAATAAGCCAAAAGGGCCATAACTGATAGGGAAGCCACTGGGCTCGGGCGCCGCCCTAAGAATCTAAGCTCGGCAGTAAAAAAATGTCGAGCGGCGGCAGCACGGCCGGCGAGAGAAAAACCTAAAGGACGCCCTGGGAAAGGAAAGTCAGGAAAGTCGGACCAATTAATATAAGATGCAAAAAATATGGGAATAGGTGGGTTTTTAGGGAGGTGACTAGGCCAGTTATGAACAGTCGGCCGTCGTTTCGCAAAAAGTTTTTTTTTTTCCATGTGCAGGCTAGGTAAAGAAATGGCGACGGAGGAAGGGATCGATGACCAGCAGAGCGGAGGGAATCAGGTCACGAATGGGAATGGGGAACAAAACGAGGGATCAACCAGGGATCGAGAGTCGGCCAAACTGGAGGGGACCCGAGAAGACGAAAATGACGTCTCAATTGTAGAAAGCTCGGAGAAAGGTAGGGGTAGCAAAAGGGGACCTCAGGAAAACAGGGAAGGGGGAAATGATATGAGAACAAGTCCTCGGAACTCAGCAGGAGCCACCCCTAAAAAGATGAAAGTCTTGGATACCAGTCACAAACTGGCAGAGATAGAGAAGCGGACCGCGAAATTTAAGGCAAGACTTATCGAGCAGATGATGGCCGGGGATGAGGAGGACCTCCATGACGCAGGGTCACGTGAGGGACGCAGGGCCGGTCAGGACGAGGCTAGGTATGTGGGGAAGGATGATAGTCACAAAGGAACACCTACCAAGAAGGGGAAGGACAAGAGCGACCCCCCGGCGGAAGGAACGGAAAACGCTATGACCCCACCCGCCATTGATAGCGGCACTAGCAGACTACCCGCCATGCCGAAAGTAACAGGGGCGTGTGACGGACTCGGGAGCCTTAGGGAGAGAGTGCTAGGATGGTTCGACCCAGAAGGAACAACGAAAACCAGGGAGAAGCAGAGGGAAAGCAAGGAAGGGGAAGGAACCAGTGCAGCCGGGGAAGCGGGTGGCTCCGAAGACGGTCTCAAGAAAGTAGTCGCCATCCTCAACAGGACACTGAACAAGAACCAGTGGTATCTCGCAGATGCAAAAAAGAAACTCACGTTCGATGGGGCCAACATTACGGAGTTTCTAATAGACTATGAGAACCTAGCAACCTTACTGAAATGGACGGAAGAGGAAAAGATGGAGCAGCTAGGACAGCACGTATCACCAAGCTTGGGAAGGGACACTAAGGTCATCGTCGCCTCCAGTGGATCCTGGAAAGAAACCAGGAATGAGATGATGAGGAAATACCTGAAGGCAGAGAAAATGGCAACAGAGGCCGAATTAGCCGAAGTCCAGAGGAAAAACTATGCGACTTACAATGATTTCCTAAGGGCATTCACGTTACCAGCAGACTAGTAAGTTCGAATACATGGGAGACGTGGACTTCAGCACCGTAACAAACCTTGCGAAAAGACAGTAGTCACCGAGACGCTAACCCTGCTTAAGGAAGGGGAGGTCATATATCTGACCGGGATGACAGGAGATAAGGTCAAGAAGGGAATAGAGAGCCTGCATGAACGGGTGCATGGGGTTGATAGCAAGATGGACAGAATGAAAAATGCGTTGTTAGTAATGCAGGTGCAAGTATCCAGGCCCGCCCTCCCGCCCCAAGAGGCCGTGGTTCCAGCAACTGTAGCAAACCGGGGGTTTGGCAGGAGGGACCCGACCAACGAACAATGCAAGTATTGCACCATGATCGGGCATTTCGTACGCGCCTGTCCGAGACTCAATCACGATATCGAGCGGCAGAGGTGCAGTAGGTCCCTCAAAGGCGAGATCCTCGGATCCAGGGGGGAGCGTGTTAATTGGAACTCGCCAGGAGGGATGCGACGAGCCGTCATCCTTCTGAATAACTTAGAGATAGTTGTCATAGAAGCAGAGCCGATAGCCGAGATTGTCTGGGACCAGCCAAGGGGACGGGGACCACAGGCCAATTTTATCCTAGAAGGCAATGGCCAGGATAGGGTAAATATTACCACTCGTCGGGTTGGGGCAGAAAAGAAGCTCATCCAAGATACAGTAATGGAAGAACTCGCAGGGACTAACACGGGCCAGCAAGAGATTGAAGCCGGGGATCAAGAGAAGGTCTATGGGAAGCCAAGGGAGGACGAACCGGTAGACAAGGCTACGGATGCAAAAAAGAAGTTCAGGTATCAAATTCCGATCCTCACTTCGCCAGAAATCGATGGCACCTTGAGTAAGTTACTAGGTACCATGGTATCGGTGTCTTTTTAGACCATGTTGCAAGCCAGCCCAAGGCTGCTTAAAGGACTCAGGCAGTTGCTAACGCGTAAGCGCGTAGAGGTAGAGGAGGCCCCAGAACTGCAAGAGCAGGACACGGAGGAGGCCGAGGCGCCGCAAGGAGTCGCGAACCTCCAAAGCATTCCAAGGGGCCTGGGAGAGTTGGAGAAAGCCTTTGTGGACATCCGCCTAAGCCTACCGGATCGTGAAGGTGGCGAAGTCATGAGGGCACCACCCGGGACAAAGCTTAGCTTTCATGCATTACCGCAACGGTCACCGGGTGCACGGTAAACAAAGAAGTAGCAGGGAGTATCCGGGGAGCAGGTGGCGAAATTCCTTTCACAGGGTATGTCACCAAATGTGCAGTCAGGGCGGGAATCCGGGAATCCATATGGTCCTTTCAGTGGATGACCGTGATGGAAGAAATGGATCACGACGTAATCCTCGGGAGACCGTGGTGCACCAATGTGGAAAAGATAGGAATGCACCTGCACGATAGAGGCACAACAGTCTCTATCTTTGTGGAAGGGTTTGGTTCCAGGGCAGTCAGAGCTGCCATTTTGGATTTCGCATTGAAACTCTTTTGAATTTTCTAAGCCCGAAGTGACTAAGGACGGGGTTGTTAGCGCTACTTCGTACAAACGGTTGCACCTTCAAGGAAAAGGCATGAGGGTTTTGCACTTAAAATAGAATTCGGGATGGCTGGGTAGATTGAGGGAAAGAGAAACGGGAAACAACGGGGATCTAGACGAAGACGAGTCTGTATTGTTTGCCTTTGCATTCGAACTCTGTCTCTTTATTTTTCCGTCTAAAGACTGTAAGGAAACTACTTTTTGGGAGTAAGAAAGTTAGTAGAGGGTGGGTGATCAAGGTTACTTTGTATAAGTATTTGCTCCGTTTAGTATGAGTTTTCTTTTCGGTAGTAAGAAACGAACTTTGGGGATGATTGACTTTGCCTCTAGAAAATAGGCAGGGGCATGTGAACCTTGAACATTGGAAGATGCAGTCATGGCGATAGTTTTTCCTTTAAAATTGTGTATCCAGGACTGAATGAGTCATTGCATGAGCCCTTGTGAGAGGTAAGGGGACCTACGGGTAGAGAGGCACCCTCTCCCCTAGGAGCCTAATCCAGCCTATCCCAGGCAATCCCAAAGCATTGAGAAGCATATGAGAAGTTAAAAAAGTGACAAGGGAAACATTGAAATGATGCAACACCCCTTGCAATGGTTGAACGGCCGGGCGGGCTAGTCCTGCTTGGGGCCGGGAGCCTTAACTTGAGTACTAGACGCTAAGTCGGATGTATGGATGGATGTAAGAATGACAAAAGACATGAGGAAAAAGAAGAAGCATGCGTAAAAACCCAAGACGATGATCACCCTCTAACCCCCGAGACAAGATAGGATCCATGTCCTCAAGGCCCACCCCCTCGGGCGCTAACATTGCAATGGACAAGGATGGTCCTAATCAGGCTGCCCAATTGAAATGGATAAGGATGGGTCTAACCAGGCTGTTCGATTAGGAAGTGGAAAGAACGACCCTAACCAGGTTGTTCGGAATGGCCCCTGGCAAGGGTCATTCTTTGGAATTGGCACTAGGGTCCCCTTGCATGGTTGATTGTGAGGCATGTAATTGGAAGAGCTGAGCCTTGGAAAAGAGATTGGAAGAACTCAGCCTTGGAAAGGATACTGGACTCGGTCTTGGAAGAGATATTGGATTGAGCATCGGAATTGGAATGAGCCTTGGAATTGGATTGAGCATTGGAATGAGATTGAGTTTGGGAATGAGACGGCTCATTAGAATTGAGTATTGGAAATTGCATTGCATAAACAGGGGACCTTAGGCAACTTGAAATGGACTTGGAAAGAGCTGGAAATGAATTTTCTCTTTCTTCTAGTCTATGGCCTCAGTAATAGGGGGATACCGATGCATGCATCGCGACCCCAAGACCTTTGTCCCTCTGAGGGAAAAAGTCTCAGCGCTACCTGCTCCTCCTTTAAGAGGACGAGGGTTAAAGGACTAAGGCACCTACCACTTGGATCGTTGCGGGACGTCCGGAACCACCTCCGACAATGAGCTCTAGTCGGGGAGTTCCAACTGCGCCTCCTGTTGAACGCCTAAATGTCAAAGGGTGAGAGAGTAAAATGGGCAGGAAAGTCATTCTCAACTGGTCTATCTTGCTACTCTCCAACCACACGTCATGTCATAAAGGGGTGGCATGGCCGTTTGGGTCGGACCACGGCTGCCCGCATTAAGTTGGGCGGCACTGTCCAAGGGGAGAGGCCGGGCGGGGTACCGGGTGGAGTCCGCGGCCACCACGGGGCATTGACACCGCCCCGCTGAAGCATTACAACCGCTTCGGGACTAATTGCGAGGTCTTCGTAACTACACTCGCGAACTAATTGAGAGCCCCAACTCTCTTGAAAGGAAGAGGCCGGAATCCAGAAAATCACCACTCGGGAGGAACGATTCGCGAGGAACACTCTTACGGCTAGACGAGACCCTGACAGGCTTGGATTGGACCTATCTGACAGACGTAAGGAGAAACCTTGGTATCGGTGCTCGCCACGTAGGAGAAGAAAGGTCGGACCGAGTAGGAGGATGAGGCCTCGCCCGCTGGGGAGGAACTGATCACTCTTCCTTTTGTGAAGCGGATGGGTTGTGTCCTTGACTGCTATTGGTGGACCAAAGGTCTCGTACCTCCGAGTGAGGACCAGTCGCACGATGGGGACATCACGTTTTGAGTAGGGGGAAGGTGTGTCATCCACTAATCAATACGCATGGAAAAAGACTTGTAATTGGTTTTGCATGGGCTTAAGAAAAAGGGGGTCTGTTAAGATGGTCGGAACAGAAAAAGATTGTAATTGGCTTTGCATGGACCTGAGAAAAGGGGGTCTGGCAAGACACCAGGGAAGAAAGGACTTGAGCAAGTGACATGGTATGGACCTGAGGAAAAGAGTCTGGCAAGACAACCTGGAGGGAAAGGATTGATGAGATTGGTTCTGCGTGGGCCCGAGAAAGGAATTGGCAGATTGGAGAATGACTGAGGGATTGGCTTGAAAAGGAGGGCGTAGCTAAAGAATGGGTTGAGCATTGCATATGGAAAGATAATCGAGTAGAGGGCAAGTAAGGACAACAGAGTGATATGCATGCGGATTTGGCAGGACTTGAGAAAAGCCGGAAAGAACGGTCAGGGAAGAATGCATGTGGATTTGGTCATGCCTGAGCTTGGGGAGAAAAAAACTTGCACCGAAAATGTGGGGAGGCCCTAAGAATAATGAAAGGAATGAAACCGGAAGGATGTCTGCTCAAGAAAGTTTTCTCGATGAAATGGGAAGATAGATTTGAGATTACGAATGCAGCCTTCAAGACATTGTCGAGAGCGAGAAATAACGTACAATGAAAAACTAGCTGCAGRACATGTCTGTGGTCAGACTCCTCCAAGGGGCGATGCTAGTCAACTTGATAWGGAAAAGAGACATCAAGCTGCTTAAGCTCCTTGATGTGTTGCTAGCTCGCACCTGGAGGAAGCCATGGGGAATGATCCTTGTGACATTGGCCGCCAAAATCTTCCTCTTACCACGGTCCCTGGGGAGGGTGATGGGCTCGTCATCCTCTCTTTTGTGGGATGACACCGGAGGTTGGTGCGAAGCTCTTGGGTATTCGGGAGTTCCAGTGAGAAAGAGATACAGTTGTGAGACGGACGTTGATGCACAGAAAATGTCACGCGCTCGTTACAAAGACATTATTGAGCTTGGGGACGTTACACAATTTAAAGGAAACCCGAAACAAAACCTTGACCCCTCCATGCCCTCCCCCGCCCCAAGGGCGGAAACTTAAAAAAGGACCCAAGAAAAGAGTGGGAAAGACAAAAAGAACCCTGGCAAGCTAACTACTCATCTCAACCCACCTCTCTTCCCTATCTGTCTATCACTCCAAAATTCCTACTGACCATGGATTGGTGCGCGATGAGGACATCGCGAATGAGTGGGGGGAATATGTCCGGACTGGTGAGTCCCGAATGACTTCCCCTCACTCGAGAGACTGTATATGACCAATTTGTGCACGACAGAGAAAACCGGAGGCAGGTATGTTGGAAAGAGCGGAAGCATGGGCACAGATAGTAAGAGGCTAGAGACTGCCCGGAGTCGTCCGGACCGCCAAACTAGAAAAATGA